GACAAAGACAACAAAATTAATGAATAATAAAATATCAGGGTTAAAATGAAAAAAGCAATAAGGGAGGAGAGAGTTACATGAACATGGCTGAAATCTTGCTTCTAAAGTGAAGATGAAATTCTAATGTGTTACATCACATTTCACATTACCTATCAGGAGGAAACATACTTGGTTTTCTCAGCGTCAAATTCTGAGATAGCATTTCTCTGACAAATTTCTCAGATAAACTATGCCACAGGTAGCCTGAAGAGAGCACTTACCAGTTTTCTTCTTAAATTTTTAGATGGGAATGTTGAAAATTAAAATAAGTCAGGATGGCATGGTGGCCTCATCATCATCTCTGTTCGACTACGTGCATAGTTACGTTATTCTCAATTATAATTACAAAAAGGGTCCAACTAAAATATTTCATTGTAAGAACTTCAAGGAAAGTCTCACAGAATCCCTATATGTGAATGTTCATAACAAGAAATATAAGTTGAAAGTCTGATTGAAAAAAAAATAACATGTAAAATACATAACTATAAGGGTATGAGAACTCTGCATATTCCAAGATGGCAGCCTGGGACAGTCTAACTATAGTGTGTGAAAAACTGTTTCAAGTCAATTTGCAAACTAAGGGCAGTGAAACATTTCTGGCTCAAGAATGATGTAGCAGACAGTGTCACGAAACCGGTAGGTTAAAACAAAGTGACAACGTGGAAAAACAACAAATTGCACCAAGTTTTTCACACAGGAATTATTCTTAAGAACAAAGATGTCATAAGTAGACTTTAGATTCAAAAGTTGTTCTCTATTAAAACCTGCATATATTCCATTTACAGGTATATGTAGCACACCTAGCGATTCAAGGAGTTATTCTCATTCCCCGTGACTATAGGGAAAGTAAGAATATTTGCATAGTCACATAAGCATTGGTGTTATTTCCAGTAAAATGAGAAATCATGATTCTGTCCTTAAAATATTTGATAAGCAGTATGAATCATGAATTTTAAAAATAGAGGCATTTAAAATTTAAATTTTATTCTAGTGGTTATTTCTATGGCAGCTATATTTGGAAGGCTGAGATTCTCTTAGTGAGCTAAATAGTCAATATTAACATTATGTTCCTTTCTCTTATTGTATATACACTGTCCTAAAGATGATGACTAGTAATAATGCCATGTCCGTAGGGTTCCAAGACTTAGTTGTTTTATCCATTCTCCAAATTCTAAAGTCATATTTGCTAATGAAATGATGTAATGCTAAATCCCACAGAAACACACATTCCATAGTGACTTGAATAACAACTTCTTTAACAAATGAGAGCTGAATGGAGGCGGATATCATGAGAGAGTCACTAAAGGTGATGAAAACAAACTGAGATGGATCCATAAAATGTTCCAGCTACCAGCCTAGCTATCCACTCCACATTTCCCACAGCAAGGAGCCTCTAAGGGCTTACATTTAAGAGTTCAAATTGCTGAGTAGAAAAATAGGAAGAGTGGTCTTAAGTACTCTTCTGCTGCTTTTCAAACTAAGTTTTAGTTAATAAAATTCACTTCTGATAAACCACCACCACCAAAGCCTCAAATCTGGTATTGCTGAGATGCAACAGAAAAAAGCTGGTGTTTATTTCCACTGCGAAATGAAGAGGAATTTCTGAAGGGAAATAAATATACATAAATTAATATCATCTATAATTTTAAGATAGGCATAAAATATTTATGGAATACTGGTTTAGAAACCAAGATAACCCCATCTGTTATGACCAGTAAATACATATTATGACCAGGTACTGTAACTTTAGTGTATCGGTGTCTGAGAAAGAAGTGTTGTTACATATAAGCTCTTTTTTTTTTTTTTCATACAAGCTCTTTTTAAAGAAGCATTCAGTGTATACATGCTTTGTTATGACTGGGATGGGAGTGAGGAGGCTTACCAATCAGGGTATGGGAAATGAAGTTAGTCTTAAGATCAAGAACAGATGAGAGAGGGGAATTGAAAAGAAAACCTCAAATAGAGTTGGGTCAGGGCCAGTTGATATATGAGCTGTTCTATTTTTAGTTAGTTTTTGTTATTAAGTCATGCTGTATCCATTCTCCATCTATATTCATTATCTTACTAATGCTCCTGTGTGACCCATATGACTCAAAATGAATCCTTTAAGTCTGCTCAAAAGCCTATATAGTTAGCCACTTGATTTATGAACTAATTTACTTCCTTTGGGACATTCTTTTAAGTTAATTTGCCATTTGGGGGAAATTTTTAAGAATTTAGTTCTTATATTTTGGGATAAAAAGAGTATTTTTTAATGCTGAATAGGTAATATTTTTCAAAACATTATTTTAATTTTTATGTACACAGCCTTGTTAACCATTGCTTTAAAAGTTAGACCTGGGGTCATAGAACGTTGGGGAAGATATTTTGGGAGTTATAAAGTCCAATTTTTAATCTCCCTTGATATCTTCACCTACTATTTTAATGAAGAGCTTTTCAATTCCACATTAGACTGTAGGCTTCATAAGGACAAAGACCAAGCCTGTTCCATTTATAAATACATATATAGCGCATTTTACAGTAGCTCATAAACAGCTGTTGAGTGAAGGAATAAAAGAAGCTACATTAGATTTCTTATATGCTCCTGGCAGTGTACTAGGAACTGTGAATTCACAGATGTACAGCAGGATCCTTTTTCTGAGGACCCTTACTATCTATGGTAGAACAAAAAGGCCACAATATATGTGAAGTTTAAGTGCAATAATTTAAGCATGTGTGGTGATCTATAGAAGCACTGAATTAAGAGCAGTTTCTTCTGCTTGATGGGAGGTGGGGGTGAAAGATGGGGGAAGCTCTAAGGCTTGGAGCCATTGGAATTACATCAAGTGAAAGTTCACCATGTGGATAAGTTGGGCTGACCAGGCAGAGCAGAGGGCATTGGCAAAGGTAGAGAGCTTTGAAAAGAGATGGGAAAGGGGGAATATGGTCAGAGTGTCCTGAATGGCCTAGAGAGGATAGAACAACAGTCAGGTTTCTATGTTAGGGCTAGGAAGAAACAGGGTCACCTGCCTTCGCCATTTGCTGGACTTCTTCATCAGGCAGGCAGTCTCCTGGAGAGTGTTTGGATTAGAATTGGAAGAGAATGGTTAACAAAAATATCAGTAAAAAAACTGCATTCATTCACTCACTAAGCAAATATTTAAACTGTAGTGTCTGTGATATGCCATGGACACTGATGGGGAATGGGGTTTAAGGATGTAGCAATCTGAATTAACAGATGCCGGGACTAGAAGGGGACACTGGGTAAAAAGAAGAGAGAAAACATAAAGGAGATATTGTGAGGCAAAATGAGCAATCAGTGAAGTCAATGAAAACATAGAAGGATTCCAGGATAGACTTCAAGTTTCTAGCCTGAGCAACTTATTGGCTCATGATCCACTAACTGAAATAGGAAACAGAAGAAAAGCCAGGTCAAAAGGGATACTTATAGGGGAATGGGCCAACAGGAGAACAAATGGATTTGCTTTCAGAATGGTTGCATTTGGATTCTAATGGCATACTGGTTAGCAGATCAGAAAAGAGATTCAGACTAGAAATTCAGATCTGTCACCATCTACTCCATTTCAAACTGGGAGCATTTATCCAAAAAGAAGAGAACTGACCTGGAGGAGGAAATGGCAACCCACTCCAGTATTCTTGTCTGGAGAGTCCCATGGGCAGAGAAGCCTGGTGGGTACAGTCCATAGGGTTACAAAGAGTCAGACATGACTGAAGTGACTTAGCACATGAGCTAAGGTTTTTATAGAATAAAAAGAGAACGGAGCTCAGATTAGAAATTTGGGCATATTAACACCTAAAGGGGGGGGGGAGAGTTTCAGAATTGAGGAAAATAAAGGAAGAAGAAGGATGTGGAGGAAACAGTACCATGAAAGCCAAGGAAGAAGAGACCTTCCAGAACGAGGGGCTGCCAAATGTGCCAAACTCAGGTGAGAATTTTACTTCTTTTGCATTTCAACCTGGCAGGATGTGTTGTTTTTGACACTGGATAAACAGACAAAATTTGTTTCAAGTTGCTACTTTTCAAAATGATACTCCTAAATATGTATATTCTTTCTTTGTAAATGTATTTATCATCTTTGTGCCATATGGGAATGTAACTTTGGTCTCATGGACACTATTCCAGATATAGAGTGATATTTCCTAATCCCTGCAGGGGACTAATACGATGCAAAAATTGTTTTCTATACAATGCCTTTTAATGAAAGGGCAGACTTAACGGTCTCAGTTCACAGTACCATAACTCACTCAGGTCATAATAATTCAGTTAGCAAAAAGTCCAAAGCCTAGACTCCTGGCTACTGACTAAATATTATATTTTTCCTGATAAGAGGTCAGTAAGCATAAAAGTTAAACACATCTCATTTTTATGTTTGAGAAAATAATAATAAAACATATTATCTTGTGTATTCCTTTGTAATCAGCCCTGATCTCCATCCAAAATTCATGGCAACTACTCACTTGTTTCTCTCCCTATAGTTTCACCTTACACATAATGTCATAGAAATAAATTATGCAATACGTAAAAAAAATTGTATTTCCCTTCTCTGATACTAAGAACCAAAACTACACACATATACACACACACACACACACACACTCAGACACCCGTGCGTAATTCAGACCACTTTAGTACACTTAAATGAATTTCCTCATAGCAAAATCAAAACGATTTTTTTTTGCCCCGTAACTTAATATTTCATTTTCTATTACTGAAGACAGGCAGATGATTAGATCACTATCTTCTAGTTGAGAAAATATTGGGTTGGCCAAAAAGTTCGTTTGAATTCTCCAGGCCACCCCTTGCCCCAACCATGCGTCAGAAGACTTTGAATTTGTGAAAGCATTCAAATAATTAAGGGCCCCATTTTTAACTTTGCGAGAAGAAAATATTGCACCAGAGTTCAGACTAGAACTTCCTTTGAATCTCTCAAAGGGTGCTGAGGCCAAACAGTAGATCGTACCTTGACTTTCTCGAGGTGATCCTGGAGGGAGTCAATGAGAAGATCGCCCACGGGCTGCCATGATCCCTTGATCACCTCAGCTTGGCGCAGTTTGAGGTCCAACTCATCCGTGGCCTCCTGCAGTTCTTGGAGTCTTTCGAGGGCCTCGTCTATTTTTCTCTGCCAGTCAGCCGAGTGCAGGTTCAATTTTTCCCACTCTGTGTTGACCTCCTCAGCCTGCTTTCGTAGGAGTCGTGTGACATTCTGGGCTTTCTCCTCAGGCGGCAGCTCTAAATTGGTAATATGACAAGGTTTTAGGCCACATTCATTTTTGTGTTTTTTTTTTTTTTAAAATAACCTTGCTGAAAAGGTCATACTGGCAAAAGAAAGAGAACAGTTTCACAAAGAGGGCAACCTTCGGATTAATGGCTTTTTTCTACTTTGGAGTTTAGCACATCTGAAGTCACGTCATCCTGAGTGAATCTGTTCTACTTTATATCAATCAGATAATCCAAGATTCATTTAAGCTACTGAGTAGCAAGATGTTAGGATGCACACCACAAGCTCGAATTTACTGCAGGAAAGAAGGCTCTTAAATTGAAAATTAGCTTATAGTCTTTGTGACAATAAACTTCCTCACAGATAATCTCTTTTGTTTGTTGTTTACTAAATGTTTCAATAAGTGATCGCTAATCTCTTTTAATGTTTATTTATGAATGTGCAAACAGATTTATGCACAGTGCTTTATGAGTCCCTTTTCTTTTTCAACATCAAGGTTTAATTTCAATCGATTCTATTTAACCCAGAAAATATGAGACCTATCCAGACCTTGGCAGCCAGAATGGATGGGTTGCTCTGTCACCACTGATCCTTCTATCAATATGTTATTACAGTTCCACATTCAATTACCTCTGGGCTCCTGGTAGAGTTTCTCTAGTCCTTCCAAAGGCTGCTCTGTCAGAAATATTCGTACAGTCTCAAGAGTACTCATGATTACAGGTTCTTTCGTTTTCAATTCCCTCTTGAAGGCCTGTGAAATGAGATGAAAAGAAATGCTGATTTGGCTTGTGGCATTTTTCTCCAAATTAATCCTGGGTGCTCAGAACTTGGTTATGAAATTCCCAGGTCAATTTCTATCTCCTTTATTTATAAACTGATAGCCATAAAATTATAACAAAGGCTCGACGGATCTTTCTGTTAAGCAGGAAAACACTGTGTCTGTACTATGGAGAGCATAGCGGAGCTTTCAAGATACATTAACATCCTTTGAGATATGAATGATTTATTTAAGTAACTTGACTGCCAAGCTTGAAATCTGGAGCTAAAGTTCTAAGACATATATTGCAAAACTCTAGCAGGGCTAATGAAACTTACGCATACCCAAAATAATAGATATCCAGATTATAATGGGAAACCTAAAAGGCCACTTGGAAAAACTTAGGTTGTACGGAAGTATACGACCAACCCTAAATCATAAACATCAGCTAATTTGGTTGTACGGAAGTATACAACCAACCCTAATTCATAAACATCAGCTAATTCTGTCAAAATGTCTGGCAATGAACATAAAGATGTATTAATAGTAGACTAAGTGAAACCTCAACACTTTTGAAAAACACCCATTACATTTTCTGTTGTGACTTCTTTGAACACGGGAGAAATGTTTTGAGGTACACTGGAGGTAGATTTATGGGAACAAGTTTCTCTAAAAGAGTGAGCCTAGAACAGATGTCCTGAGGTCTTCTAAATCAGTTATGAAATTAAGTCTCTAACCTAATCTTCTTTGATGAAAGTGAAAGAAAGTGAAGTCGCTCACTCGTGTCCAACTCTTTGCGACCCCATGGACTGTAGCCCGCCAGGCTCCTCTGTCCATGGGATTCTCCAGGCAAGAATACTGGAGTGGGTTGCCATTTCCTTCTCCAGGGGATCTTCCTGGCCCAGGGATCAAACCCAAGTCTCCTGCACTGTAGGCAGATGCTTTGCCATCTAAGCCACCAGGGAAGTCCAATCTTCTTTGATACAGGGGATTAAAAGACAATAAAAATGCACATTTTCTGCCTTCAAGAAGTTTCTGAACCAAAAGAAGGGAGATAACGAATACACTAGAAACAAAGAAAACACTAAAATTCATACCTAACCAAGTGCTAAGGGTTGTGAGACATCCTGTGAGGCTAGGATAAATTCAGATACCCTGAAACCATTGAAGATAGCTATTGACCCATATTCTGCAATCTCAGAAGGGAAGTCGTTAATGAAAATATTAAATATCACGTAAATGCTGAAAGATCAGTGTCAAAACAACAGTAATAATAGTCATCCTGATCTAGGACTTAATTATTTGTATCTTGTTTCAATTCTACCTTATTTTTATAAAGTTTGCCTATTGAATTTAAACCTTGTTTTGTTTCTGAGAGAAAACTTAGCAGTATCTCCTTTAAATTTCAAGTGTATCATGTTATAAGAGTACTCTATAAGTATACTGTGTGATACATTTATAAAGAAAAGCCTAATGGTGTTTGCCATTTAAAGAAATCCTGAGTCTGACACTGCAAAAGGATCCATCTTTCAATGTCATTTACAATTTAGCAGAGAGAGGCAAGGTTTTTGAGCCAAAGTAATGAAATTTTATAAGTGGAATAGTAGGATTCAGCCTGTAGATAGGGATGTATCTTCTGTAGAGTTGGATATTCTTGCACCCTTGAAATCATACAGAATGGGTGGGTTATTTGTTCTGCTTACAAGTAAAATTTCCCTCTAATATTTCATTTGTAATCTGTTTGTGCGTGTGCACATAGACATGTATTTGTGTGCATTTGTGTATATAGTTCTTGTATTCCTGCATTTTTATCAAATATCTAATTTTTCCAGATTAAAGAAAATTATTACTTTACTTTGTCTCTCCAGTTGGACTTGACAATAGGAAGGTGATACTGACATTACCAATGATAAAAATAATAATATCTCCCTTTATTGAACTGCTATGTGTCAGTGGTTATACTAGAGACTAGAAATGCAGAGTTGAATGCAAAACAGCCCTTCCTAGGTGGGAACTTATAGTAAATAGTGGAAGATTTGATCACATAAATAATTTCAACACAATGTGGAAAGTGCTATAGGCTTGCAAAATATGGGAAAGGAAATTGGGAAAGGCCTCCTGGAGAAGATAGTAATCACGAAGAATTCTAAAGCAGGAACATGAGTCAGCAAGGGAAAAGTAGGTTGGAGGAAGAAGAAAGAAGATAAAAATGCATGTATGAAGACAGAGGGTAAGTGTGCCAAGTGCAGTTCTCTTAAGTAGGTGAGTTTTTGTAGAAGATAAAGTACAAGAAGAAGACATGTCCACAGATGAACCAGGGTACTGTTCTCATCTCAAACTAATTAGACCTTTAAGTCAGGGTTTGAACCTTAACCTCTGACCATATACAAAGTCTAGGTGTTGCCTTGTAGGTAATCAGGAGCCTTTGAAGGGATTTAAGCAGGAAGTGGCACGGGCACGTGTGCGTTTCAAATCAATTTCTCTGACATTAGTGCAGAGTACATATTTGAGAAGGACAGAAATGGAGTCAGAAAAAACAGGAGGCAATTGAAAGAATTCACTGAAAGGTTATGAGGATCTGATCCAGGGCAATGGTATCAGGAAGAAAAAAAACAGAGTAAGGAAATGTTTAAGAGACTAGAGATGTGGGAATTTGGTGACCAAATAGATGCTGAAGAAGAGGAGAAAGCAAGGGTGAACTCCTAGTTTCTAGGTTGGGTAGAGGAGGGAATGCTGGGTGCAATTAAACTAAACATGAGGAAATAAACTCTCCTGGATTTCTCAGTTCACCTATAAAAAGTTCTAACCACATGAACATTTTCCCATACCATGAGAATTAGATCTGTAATCATTTGTCTGATTAATTTTACTGATCCAAGAGGGCCAACTGGTTATAGGCCAGAGTAGTTCTCTAGGTTAAGCTGCAAGGTGTCAGAAAGACTGGAATGGCTATCTCTGCAGGCATTTACATTTCAAAACTATAAAGCCCAGACTTTGGAGACATTTCTAGGTTGTAGAATCTGAGATGCATGGGGCTACCTGGCTCCCAGAGAAGAGACCATTTCAGAGGGAGGATGGGACGACTGCCATCCTTTTTCCATCATCTGCCATCATCTTTTCCTGGTTTCTTGCCTATGGAATACCTACCAGTCACTCACACAGGAAAATTTTCATCAGATCTCACCATGTCTCCTTAGGGGTAAGGCTTGAACAAAGGGTAGAAGATAGTGGTGATATTGACTGGAAGTTAATTAAAGGAAATCGGCCTCTGGTCTAGAACACCTCATGTGCACATTCAGGATAAAAATGAACAAAGACAAATATGAAAACTCCAACACTCCTATGAGGGGGGGGGTCTGTTGGGCAACAGAGTAAGGGGATGTGATACCCTCAGCTTGGAGATATAACATTCATTCCAGCAGGAAACAGGTTTCGAATGCCACATTTAGGGAGAAGAAATGAGATATAGGAGTCATTCTCTCACTAAGCTAATATACACTAAGGGTCTACGATTATGCTTATAGGCAAGGATTAAAATTACGTCAGTAGATGAGATTGCTCAGTGGAGTGAACTGAAAAGAAAATTCTGGAGAACATACATAAAAATTTAATGAACAAACAGAGAAATTGGATCCTATGAAAAGCTGAAAAGGATTGGATAGGCATAAAGATTGGGAGAAATAAGGACCGTAAAGCTGTTCAAGACAGAGTAAAGAGTTTGAGAGGAATAAAGTAACCAAGAGTGTCCAATCATGACAAAGAAGTAAAGCGAGATCAGCAACGAAAACTGTTCATGAGATTTGGTGAGAACAATTTCAGTGGAGGCAGTAGCTTTGGAAATAGTTCAGCTGAGGAGCAAGTAAGAGAAGAAAGAGAAGGTATTTCAAATGACAACTATTTGCCTAGTATCTTATTTTTCTGAGAGGGAGAAGATGACAGGACAGAGATGATCACAAGGTAGAGAGAGATACACTCTTTTTAGGATAGGAATGGTTTGAACACAGACGGAAAGTTGGATAATCAACCATCCTGGTTTGCCAGGTACTAAGGACCAGGAACCTTTGATGCTGAAACCAGGATAGCATCAGGCAAATCAGGACAGTTGGTCACCACAGTAGAGAGGGATATATATAAAAGACCTCAGGGCAAAGTGGAGATAATTGTTGGGGCAGGGTCTGTCAAATAAGGAAACAGATTTTAATGGTCCCACTAAACTGAAAAAGCTCAAGATATGATGCGATTCCATTGTTAAAAACTGAGCAGCCCTGTGATGACCTAGAAGAGTGGGATTGGAGGGTAGGGTGGGAGGGAAGCTCAAGAGGAAAGGGATATGTGTATACATATAACTGATTCACTTCATCGTACAGCAGAAACTAACACTGCATTGTAAAGCAATTATACTCCAAGAATAAAATTAAAAAACTGAACTGCAAATAATTCAAGGCTGAGGACCACCCATCCATTGTGAGAGACCACTTGTTTGTTCCTCGAGTTGTTGCCAACAGCTTAGTTCCACCACAGCTGCACAGTTTATTTCTAAATATGAGTCACTAAGGATTAAAATAAATCTAAAGAAACGACAAAGGAAGTTCTGTCATTACAAACACATAAGCACCATTATTTTCACATTGGTGCCAGAAATTAAGAAAAGAAAGTAGATGGAAGATAGAACAGTTAAGTGACTGAAACTTGAGAATTTAAGAAGATTTAGACTCAATACACACATACAACTGTAAAAACTCCAGAAAAAAAGGGAGAGGAAAAAAAACTATAAAGAGCAATGTCATGTTAAACATGGTTATATGAAAGGTGCTCTTCCATTTATTCATGTAACACATTTTGAGCACCTACTATGTACCAGACACTGTTCTAGGCAATGGACATCATTGATTCTTATAGCATGGAGTTTAAAAGAGACAAGCTTAGGTAGAAAAATAATAACAAGACAACAACAACAACAACAAAAATCCTCATGAAGATGTTGCATTAAAATG